ACCCTAAACCCTAAACCCTGACCGGCGTTCCTTAACTCCGGGTTTGCCAGGACCACCGAAGCAACGCTTATGGGAGCTGGGACTTCATTTATCCTGGGTATGTTAGGGTTTAGGGTTTAGGGGCTATCTTGGGCTTTGGGGCCTTAGGTAGAACGCCGCTGTGGGCTTAGGAAAAATCATGCGGTTGGGGGGCCCTCAAGCTTCGGGCTTGTAGGGTCGTACGTATCAGGTTCCCTCAACCCTACCTGGAGCCCAAAAGTATGTAGAATAATCGCCTCTTTGTGGGTCTTGGGCCATTCTTTTACGCAAACCCTAAAAGCATTTGGGTAGGCAATCTTGCAACCGACTGCAAACCCAAGCAGCCTAGTAGCTCGCGCACATAATTACCTATACTATTTTGGGGGTTCTTTAGAGGATTATAGCATAATGGGCCGCAAGACCCCATTTTAACTATTAATGCCCCTACATTACAAGCTTTTAGATTTTATCGGGTTTATAGAACCTCCTTTTGGGTTCTCGCAGGGCCCGAGGATCTCCGGTTGGATCGTTTACGTGGTTTAGGGTTTAGGGTTTAGGGTTGATCTAAGGGCTTTAAGAGGACCCTTAATAGGGACCCTTGTAGGTTATTGGGGTTAAGAAGGAGACTACCTGGCTATATAAGGGGTATATAAGGACTATACAATGGTTATTTAATGTAGTGGGATCAAGGGTCCCTATTAGGGGTCCCTCCTAAAGTCCTTAGATTCTACATGTATCTCCATGGCTGTCTCGTTGTGTATTCTGGCCTGCGCTGCATCTCTATGTCAATGGCCATCTCATTTCCATCTCTTGCCTTTGTTCGGCCTATCCAAGTACTCCAAAAGTAGCTCACCCTTTAGTTGGGTTTAGGGTTTAGGGTTTAGGGTTTAGGGTTAGGGTTTAGGGTTTAGGGTTTAGGTAGTAGATTCTTCAGCCGGACAAAGCACTGTATTGGACTTCCTTCCAGGTCAAAAGACACATGTGTTCATATTCATTGACGACTTGAAAGCTTGGGGCAAATGGAGAGTTCTGGGTAGTAGCAAGTGCACCCCCTCAAGTCTCTATGCATTCTGCCCACAAACTTATTCTAGTCACTAAGGCCAAGCAATATAAAGCCTTGCAGAACCCCATATTCAATCCGAAGAATAGAACCCTGCTTAAACCCTCGGAGGCTACACAAAATCAACCCAAACCCAACCCCTGAGGAGGCCGAGGGGGTACGTTGAAAGGCGTGCTCTTTACAGACCTGATGCCCCCTTTGGACGCCCCGCCGGCCATCGCGAAGCTCTCGATGTTCCGCAGCTCGGGGAGCAGCAGCCACGGCCCACCTGCCCAGGCTCCTTCTTAAGGGGGTTTTATACGTAGGTGTTTGTAGGATTTCTTGTAGGGTATGTTTGGATTCTCGTTGATGGGGCTTGTATAGGGGTTGTTCTTGGTGTTGATAGGCGTGTTTGTAGGTTTGTGTAAGGTGCTTGTAGAGCTTTTTCGGATGGCCATAGGGTTTTGGGAGTGTTTAAGGCCGGCTTGGTTAATGGTTGTAGGAGGGTTTAGGGTACGCATTGGGATTACGGCCAGTGGTGCCGCAGGGATGCAGCAAGTGCTATCATCCTTCCTTTACAACCTGTGTACATGCAATGAGACACAACCCTCTAAACCCGTTCAAGCCAGTGACCTGCTTGAGCCCACAATACACTCGAGCCGTGCACTGAGCCATGATAAGCAAGCCTGAAAAGAAGCTTTCGAAGCCCAAGCCGTATTTAACACCTGAGAAATCCGGATTCGCCTTCACGACCGAAATTCTTGAAAGCTAAGCCTACCGTTCCTTCAATACCCTCACCTGAAAGCTAGGCCCAAAGACACATGACTCCCTTCAGGCCGTGCGAGCGCACGCATTCCACACTCGCCTGGTGGACAGCTGGTCTACGAAGCTTCGAACGGAGGTTTTGCAGGTGGGGGTCCGGGTTGTACTATAAAGGCCGGAATAATTACTAAGATCATTCCTGGGAAACCTATTCTCCTAATTGAAGGCCGCTATCGTCAAGGGTTTTGTGGGGTTCAGGACTTCAAGGGTGTAAAGATAACGAGTCTCGAAGATGGGTTGCAAGGGCAGTTTCAAATGTTCTGTTCGGTTTTAGAATGTTTCAGATCGAGTTTTATGGGTATGACAGGCCTGAATGTTGGGTTTTTGCGGTCCTCGCGGTTTGGCGGTTATGGCTTTATCGAGGTCATGTACACCAAGATGGATGGGCAAACTTGCCACCTCGTCGGCCTGCGCGACTTCACGGACAGCAAGCCCTTTGCCCTATCAAGAGGTCCAACAGGCGATGGAGACGAGGCGCACCGAGAGTTCAAGGTTTCATGATCAGCGGTGCAAGATTCATTCAAGCATAGTCTGATAAATCTAGGGGCCTAAATGATGACCTCTAGGACCTATAGCTTTTTTGGGGGGTTCTTTATTATAATTTAAATATGATGGGCCCCAAAACCCTGTTCTGATTGTTAAGGCCCCTACATTAAGTCGTAGGTTTAGGATGGGATTTGAAAGAACGTGACTTCCGGCAACAGAAGGTGGTGAAGATCCGAAACCCTAGGGTCAGCTGGCAGTAAGCAGGACGCTTAATGTAGGGGCCTGAATAATTAGAATAGAGGTTTGGGCTTCGTTTTGGTATTCGTATAGCAAGGAACCCTAGCAGCAATATTGTAGTACTGGCTATTATGTAGGCTTCTATATTCAACTTGGTGGAAGGCAGAGGAGCTGGCGAGCGTCGACTCGTTCCCCATTAGCCCGAGCTCCCGACATAGCGAGCAGTGGCTGCCGCAGAGTTTGTCCCTTGGTTGGAGTTTGGGGTTTAGGGCCCCTAAACCCTACACCGTGAAGCTTGGGGTGCAAAGTTCAGGATTCTGATGGCGAACCGCTTAGACTCGAAACTCGGACCCAGGGTTAGGGTCCAAAACCCTCAAACCCTCAAGCTCCCAAGCCCCTCAGCCATCCTACACCCTCCCCAAACCACCCTGCCCTGCATGAGTTCAGGCCCAAACCCTAAAAGGAATAGGTTTCTTAGACGGTGTGGAGTGGGAAAGGAAAGAAACGAAAGGGCCCTCTGGACGACGCGCTCGACACAATGTGGCCACAAGACATCACTATGGACTTAGCGCAATTTCACGGCAAACCCTAAACCCGAAATCCTAAACCCTAAACCGCAAAACCCTAAACCCTCCACCTAAACCCTGAGACACGAAAACCGGTAAAGCTGTTAAGGCGGGCAGGGCGAACTTGGAAAGAAACCCCTCTAGAGTCTCCACTTCTCAGAGTACATATTTATGCATGTTTCATAAATATCTGTAGTATATATGTATATATATATATATACATATATATATATATATACATATATATATATATATATATATGCGCAGTCACGTATGAATATTGTTTTCGTTGTTCTTATCATTGTTGCTATTATATTTACTGTTATTGTTAGTGTTCTTTTTTTCTTAGCATGCTCCATTCTGCTTATTGCTACTATTATGATCATGACTACTCTTGTTATTGCTATTGGTGTTTTTGTTGTTATCATTATTAGTTTTTTTGTTGTTGCTAGTGTTCTCGTTATTGGTATTGTCATTCTGAGCAATTGTGCCATGTGTCTTCATATTCCTGGTGGGAATTCCACCAGCTACAGGTGGCTTCTGAAATGGATCTACATGATTTTCTTTGATAGTCCTTGTATGTCCAGGATGGCACGTTGCTCCGACCTCTGTATTCGGCTTAGGGTTTGGAGGGGTTTAGGGCTTAGGGTGTTCTCGCAAGAACTAACTGCCAAGGTATGGTCGTGGAATGCTATTTCTGGACACTTGGCCCGCTCGGGGGTTGAACCCTTTGCGATGTAGGGCTCATGGTCCAACCCCTAGGTGTGGAGTCGTGGCTTCGGTTTAGGGGTTGACTTTCAGAGCTTTGTCTTCATGGCAGACATGACAGCAGAGAGTGATCCGAAAGCCACAAGTTCTCGAGCCTTAGACGATATCATGATATAATATAATAATAATAAAATTATAATAATAATATTATATATATATATATATATATAGTGGCAGCCTTATGGAACTCTTTTCGAGCTCTCATCAGATCCCCCTGAAACCCAGAGCCGCGCTTGTTCTCTCGTACTGCCCAGGCACCCCGACTACCCGCCAGTCCCTAAAAGCCTCGTCATTACAGGGGCTTAAGAAAATTACCCATACTAGTTTGGGGGCTCCTTATTATAGTTTTGGTATAATATACCCCCACAACCCTATTCTAATTACTAACTTGTATTCAGGGCTAAGTTGGGTGTTTGGAGTATAATGAGGTGAGTAGGGGTTCAGCGTTCAGCTGTAAATCCCAAAACCCCAAACCATGTAAATCCAAAACCCTAAACCAGGGACATGCGCAACCCCTCGAGGGCTTTGAGGAGAATCCGTAGAATGCTTGCTCCATGTTTCTTTGGGTTCCAGCGAGCTCTCAGATTTCAGGGATTGTGGGTTCAGATGCTCAGCGCGGTTTGGGTTTTAGGAGTGCAGATTATTGAAATTCTGCAGGTGATGCTGGCCGGATGCGGGAAGCTGCAGATGCCAAACTACACTACCATACTTTGCCACCAGAACCTATAGTTTTGTAGGGGTCTACAAACTTCATATTAGGGTTGAGAATAAGAACCTACGAAAAAGGGGGGAGGGGTCGAGTGTGCGCTC